TGGCTCCTTGCCTTTTCCTCAGCCTGGAAAGGAAATTGCAGAGAATTGGAGTAAGGTGTCTTGGTTTAGGATAAATCTGGGAAAAACTCCAAAGGGCTTTCTCTAGAAAGCAGATTCAAGTGGTCCCACGTTGTACTGGCCACAAAGATCCTGCACCTGCTGGCCAAGGAGTGCCCCAGGGTGGTGCTGGAGAACGAGGCTGTGAGGGCTGGTGAGTGCAGCTCCAGGCCTGCAGTTCTGGCTCCTTGCCTTTTCCTCAGCCTGGAAATCAAATTTGAGAATTTTAGGAAGGTGGTGTCCTGGTTTAGGGCAAATTTGGGAAAAACTCCAAAGGGTTTTTTCTAGAAAGCAGATTGAAGTGGTCCCACGTTTTACTGGCCACAAAGATCCTGCACCTGCTGGCCAAGGAGGTCCCCAGGGTGGTACTGGAGAATGAGGCTGTGAGAATTCCAGGCTTGGGATTCTGTCTCGTTGTCTTTTCCTCAGCCTGGAGATGAAATTCCAGAGAATTTTTAGTAAGGTGTCTTGGTTTAGGGTAAATTTGGGAGAAAACCTTCAAAGGGGTTTCTCTAGAAAGCAGATTCAGGTGGTCTCACATTGTACTGGCCACAAAGATCCTGCACCTGCTGGCCAAGGGGGGGCCCCAGGACTCCAGGGTGGTGCTGGAGAATGAGACTGTGAATGTTGTGAGAATTCCATGCCTGGGATTCTGGCTCCTTGCCTTTTTCTCACCCTGAAAATGAAATTCCAGATAATTTTAGAAAGGTGTCCTTGTTAGGAACACGTTTGGGAGAAAACCTCCAAAGGGGTTTCTCAAAAATCCCTTTGAGAGAGGGGAACGAGGCTGTGAGGGCTGGTGAGTGCAGCTCCAGGCCTGCAATTCTGGCTCCTTGCTTTTTTGTTAGAATCCAAAATACAAAGAACTCTCAGAACTCTGGGGCTGTAAGCCAAAGCTTAGAATTAAACACAAGATTTGATCTGAGACCTTAGAAAAACTTCCAAACTTAAGTACTAGGAGTGAGAATGTGGATTTATAGTTTAGAGCAGAGCCATGTTAAAACTAAGTAAAGTTTAGAGTTTTAAAGGTTAAGATACAGAAAAAATAAAAGTAGTTACAGAGATAAAGGGATTAGAATGCTGTACTGTGTGTGTCAACATAATTAACAAAAAAAGCTTATAGTATAACATAAATCTATAAAATACTTAAAGATTAAGTCAAAAATATAAATATCCTTATTAACAGTGTTTTATTAGTCAATAAATCCTTTAAAATTCTTATAACTAAGAATCTTGTAACCTCCTAAATCATCTACAGCAATATAAACCAAATTCACCCTTCCTACCTGTGTAAAAAATAAAAAAAAAAAAAACCACATTATCAAAAACAACTCAAAAATCCCATCTCAAATTCCTTCCAAGGTAAATTATCACACCTTTTTCTCAACCTGGAAATGAAATTTGAGATAATTGTAGTAAGGAGGTGTCCTGGTTTAGGGTAAATTTGGGGGAAAACCTTCAAGGGGCTTTCTCTAGAAAGCAGATTTCAAGCAGCCTCTCCCCAGCTGCTTTTCAGAGCTGCTAAGCTGATCTTGATCACAGAACCATTTCCCTGTGGAAATCCAGGAATAGTGGAGTCTGTCCATCTCACTGAAAGGTTTATGGTATGGAAGTGAAGAGCTGTATGAATTGAAAATTCAGGACTGTGAGGATGAGTTTGTGCTCCTCTGACACCTCCCTGTTGTCTCTGCAGCTGCTGTCAGTGCTTTGGCAAAGTTTGGGGCACAGAATGAGAACCTGCTTCCCAGCATCCTGGTGCTGCTGCAGAGGTGAGTGGGGCTGCCTGGGCCTGGGGACAAGGTCACAGCAGGCTGGGAGTGGCACTGAGGCTGGCAGTGCCAGCTGGGGAGTGGGAAAATGCTTTCCTGCCTGGCTGGAGGGAGCAGAGCACTGCTGGAGGAAGGGAAGGATCACATGGAAGTGAAGGATGGGGTTAGCCATGGGAACCTGTGATGGTAATTTGGTCTGAGGACGTTGCTCAGGGGGTAATAAATCACAGAGTCGTTAATTGCTTTGGGTTGGAAGAGCTTAAAACTCAGCCAGTGCCACCCCTGCCATGGCAGGGCTCCTTCCACTGTGCCAGGCTGCTCCAAGCCCCACCAGCCTGGCCTTAGATCTTTTCCAGGGATCCAGGGGTAGCCTCAGCTGCCAAGGCCTCCCCATCCTCACAGACAGGAATTTCATGCTCACATCCAACCTAAATCTCTTTTGGTTTGAAGTTGTTCCCCCTTGTCCTGTCAATATCTGCCCATATAAAAAGTCACCCTCCCCCTGCAGAGCTTTTCTACACGTGAGCATTTTTAACACCCCTTGAAGCAAGAAAATTCCTATCCAGGTCACTCAGGAATAACATTTGTGTTTCCAGAGTTGGGTGTTCCCGTGTCACAGCCTCATGTTTCTTCTTAACACGTGTGGTGTTAATGATTTAATTGAAATTAAACCAACTCCCGTGTTGTACAAACACATTTTTGCACAGTTTGAAAATGTCACTGCAGTATCAAAGCCAGTTTTGTCAGTGCCATTTTTAGCTCAGCTCTCTGGTGCCCGTTGGCTGGCTGACCTTGTCCCCTTGTCCCCAACCAGGTGCATGATGGACAGCGACGACGAAGTCAGGGACAGGGCGACGTTCTACTTGAATGTCCTGCAGCAGAGACAGCTGGCCCTGAATGCTGCCTACATTTTTAATGGTCAGTGGGAGAAAGCAGACCACTCAGAGCTCTTAATTCAATTTTTTAATGGCCTTAGCACTTCCCTGCCAAGTGCTCGTGGTGAGAGTGGAAGATCTAACAATCTAAAGCTGGTCCTGGACACTCCCAGGGATCCAGGG